TACTGTTTAGACAAGTAATCCATCCAGATTCACTGTTTGTTGAAGTGAATCCTCTCTAGAACACTCATGAACAAATTTATACGATCTTTCTTTTCAAATCTCCAGTTCATAGGGGATCATCGGTAAGACCCGTTCAGATTGGTAATCCATCCATACCGTATTACCGCTTAAGCTTCAGTCTGGGTGGTCGCCACGGCGTAAATATAAATGTGCAGGAAACACCAGATATGCTTAGATACAGGAGTAAACTTAGTGGTAATCCGGTGAACCTGAGGCTGCACCGCTTTGGACCGTAGCGCGAGACTGTAACTCCAGCGGGAACATAAAATCATTTCAGCTTTCTTAGTTTAAACGTGTCCATGTTTTACGGCTTGTTTTCAATTTTTCATTAGGTGAACTGCCGGATAAGTACACAGAAACCACAGTTTGTACAAAAATAGTATTCGAATGATTGGTTCAGTTATCAGACCATCTCCTACTTGTCCGGTACGAAACGCTACATATATTTTGACCATAGGTTTGCAGAACAGTTTATTATGTCAAGCTGATATGAAGCTGTTTTTTTCAGGGATTTGTATTTATAATCATAGTATGGATAGTCGGTGTAATTTCCGGCATTTCCCGATGTATTCAAATAAATCTTCAAGGAAATTTTCTATTGCTTACCATTGCTTAGGCATTGTTTGCGCGGGCATAGCGGAATAAGTCATTTAATAATTATCTTGTTTTCTTCTGCGTTATAACCTCGACAGGTACATTAATGTCTGCGTGAATGTAAAATATATATTTTAATTATTTTGATATGTACGTCTCGTAAAGGATCTCTCCAGTTTTAAATTCTGGTTAGTTTTTAACTATAGTTGAATTATTTACGAGATATGTGTGTGTAATTCTGTAAACATTTTTAAACGTTATTTGTAATTAAATTTCGTAGTATCAGATATTTTGACCGATCATGACGTTTTCTTTCGTTCAGCATGCTGTCCGATTGTCAGAGCCTGGCCGTTTTGGCGAAGCGTGTGAACAACGGTACTGGTGAAACAGACCTAGCAGCACCGGACTCTTTGACCGTAGAGGCGTATGAAAGGCGACTGCAGCGTCTGGAAAACGAGAAGACCGAATTGACACGGAAGTTGACCGGTATGTTTTTATACGTCTGCTGGTACAACGGCAGTGCTCATAAATTTTCTATTTGGACGTCAGACTCATGATATACAGGATCTTAGAGGTAGGCTTACTTTGACTATCCGCGTTACTGATGCATTTAAAGTCACTGGGGTTCCAAGACTGCAAGGTTGGTTGGTTGCACACTTTCAACGATTCAAGATGTTGTTTAGGAAATGTCGTTAAAGTCTCGTAGTTCAGACAAGAGTGGTAGCTGAAAAATCTTGAGTTTAAATCCCAACTGCGGTCGCTCACTTTTTTATTAGGTAAATGAGTATCACGTGGGAGTGATCTTAAATAAATCTTAGAGTAGATGCCATGTTGATCGCCAAGTTATAGGTACTTTGTCCAAAACAGATCGCTGTTCGCTGCTCTTATCGAAACAGGGCTCAGCTTCGTACCATAGGCTTCGTATAAACCTTTTCAGGTCAGCTCGTAACGCACGCACAGTCCTTTTCGATCTGTGCGCGATAACAGAATGGTTGCATTGGCAGTTTTTGTAATCACGTGTTTGGCGGGTTGCCGTGGCGTTGCTTCTATGAATTGGGGGGGAAGAGGGTATCGCCTTAAGTCGCTTGGAGCTTCGCATTTGCGCACAGTGCGAACTCGTTGTGCACAGGAATTTCCTCCTAAATGTTCTACCTGTTCGATGAGGGTCGCTGCCACTGTATGAGGTACAACAGTCCATTTCTCGCGTCAGTGTTGCAGTTGAAATCCGTTCATTTCATGTCTATTGATTTTTTTTCACTGCAGATTCGTTTTCTAAAATTTTTTTTGTTGATCCATTGTCTCAGTAAATTTTGTTTACAGAAACGACTAAGTTGGTGCAAACTCGATTCCATGGTACCGAACCTATGGCCAGAGATGATAAAAGCGCGGTCGATGTCGAATCATCCACCGTCGCTCAGCTGAAGGACGAGATACAGATTCTCAAGCGGCGCCTGCTGGAGTACGAAAACGCTCCCACTCCCAGGAAAGACGCAACCGTCGAAGAATGGGAAAGCAAGTACCGCGAGTTGCAGAAAAATAATCGAAATCTTGTGTCCGAGAAGGCGCAGCTACAGGAAGTAATTTGCTTGGCTTGTTCATGAACTGTTCATTGATAACTACGTTTTTAGGATGTTTTTCTTTTTAATTTCCTTAATATATTTTTCGATATTGTACTTAACAGGAAGAATCATATTGACACCCTCTGTGGTCTTCAGCTTAAGTCGAAGCGAGAAACAATCTAAAATTTCGACCTCCCCCTCCAGCCCCCATTCAAAAGGATTAAACCAAGAATATGCAAGTTTAGGCATTATTTTTACTCCGAATTTCTCATAGTTTTGCCGTGGAGGGATAGTGTTTTTCTTCATTTTATGATTTAGTCTTTCAAACATTCTTCCACTTTTTGGTTCACAATAATCTCTGTATACGGTTGAAATCTTTATGAAAATATTTCATCCACATTTTTCAGCAGTTAATGGCTCTGAGTAGTTCTGTGTGGTATATATTCAGAGTATGATTTTTATTTCAGACAGAATTGCGTTGAAATTGCGTGGCTATTTCCGTTAAGGCCGGTTGCCAAAATGCTTTTTGAGCAGGTCCTTAAATTCTGGTTCTTTGTTTCTTGGAGTGAATGGTATTGCCTTATCGCAGTGTCATTGTCTTCTGTCACGTGATTTATCAGTTCGTTTTCCACTTCTTTCCTTTAACTCGTATCTACGCCTAAGCCTGGATCTTGCAATTGATTGTTTGCAGTCCCTGGATATGAATTCGTCACTGCTGGATTGTACCTCTCCTCTTTCAGTCGACTGACCTATCGACACTATGTTAAACAATGTAACCCAGTCTATCTGATGTCATTTCTTCCCTTTACCACTGATGCAGTGATTTATTTGTTGTGCATTATCCTTAAATCTTCATCTTGTAGCTTGTACTTCGTTCAAACTCTAAAATGTTTCTCCGTGACCGCACTTTCAAAAACATCTTTGTCTTTCTTGCTTTAAGTCCAAGTCTCACAAGTCAACCGTATACAGTTATAGCGGTTATTCCATCGTTTGTCAGTTTCTTTTTTCAACAGTGTTCTCATTTTTTTCAGACATAGTCCGCACTTCCCACGTCTTATAGCACACTATCGACTACGAAATGGTCACTGATTTCAGTTTTGGCATCACAGATGACTGATGCTGATTATTCTGTGAGTTCATTTCTCTTAATCGTCACTCTGTTTATCTGAAATACAACTACTTGTTGTTTGAATCTAACCCGCTTCATTGTGACAGACTTTTTTGCTTGTCTACACAAAAGTTCGGTCATGTGCAACAGTCAGAATGAATTACCTTTTGACTGAAAAGTCTTCGTTCCATTTTATAGTGCAAAATATCAGTTCGAGAGATGAAGTGCACTAAACAGCTTCGGTGATGTGGAGTTCATTTTGAGGCACAATTTCAGGTTTTCACTTTGAAGGGATCTTTAGATCTTATTGCCATAGCCCCTGGGTGCCGTTTGCCTTACTGACATGCATTCTTAATCAATTCTTGATTTTCAAATGTCCGTGACATTGCACCTTGTTATGCTGTATCAGCCGTTTTTTTTCGTGGTCTGTGCTGGTGCATAGATGAGTAGGTTAATACTCAAGATAGTTTTTGAGCAGTGAACCTGTACTTGGATATATTCGATTATGATAACACTTAGACGAAACTTATCCTCTTGGGTCAGCTGTTACTTACTGAGTTGTTTGCATAAGTGATTTGATAGAATCTTTGCAAAAAGCTTGTGCAAATGCGGCAAAAAGCGCATAAAACTTGTTTTTCAGTTTTTTATTGATGTTTTTGTCAAGCAGCTCTTTGTTACTTACGATTTTTTGGTTGTTGTTGTTTTGCCTTGGTGAAAATCTCTTGTAGATGGGTCTTACCGTGATATTATGAATTTTTTTGCGTCGTTGCTTGAAATCGTCATTTTAATGCGTCGATTGAACCACGATCTGGATCTGAATGGATAGTTTTCTTATTCTTTGTCCGTCTAAGATGAAAGCGCTCAAATTTTATCTTTCGTAAGATGTAAGGTGGACTCTTGATTTAATGAGACTTTTAGAAAATCCTCTTCTTCCTTCCACCATTTGTATATTCTGTAATTGTATTTGCAGATCTTTTTTGCAGCTTGTAGCGTTGACTTAAGTTCGTACTGACTCTGCGAATCGTTTTTAAATTCTGCTTAATTTTAGGTTTTACGTATATCTTGAATCTTTAACCTTTGACGTTTAATAAGTTCAAAGCTTGCGCAGAACGTCACAGTGGCATTTTCTTATAAAACGTATTTTAGCAACTGAGCGACACACTAGAGGCAATGAAGGAAAGCAAGACCGAACTGAAGGAGGCGCTGAAGCATCGTGATATTGCTGTTCAGGACTTCGCCGAAATCAGCTCAAAGTAAGAGTGTTTTTTCTTTTTAAATGTGTTTGACATGGATCTTGTGACTTTTCGATTGTTTAGATTGGTCGATCTGCATATGGAGAATCAAAAGCTCAATCGATTGATGCAAGAAAAGCAGGAAGAATGCAATGGCTCTCGCCAGAAGCTGGATAGCGTCAAACTTGAGTTGGTGAAAATGAAAAAATGGAAGCAGGATTATGAAACAAAATTCGAAGAATTGCAAACGGGCTTCGACGTCCAGTGCAGTATCAGAGAAAAGTGCGAACTGAACTTGTTGCAGGCGAAGGAAGAGTTGGAAAAACTCAGAAGTCGTTACGGCGATTCTGTTGTTAAAAATGAACCGCAGAAGGTGGCCGATGAAAAGTATGCTTTTGCTACCGTGTGGTGATAAG